CAACATTGGAGCTCTCTTTCAAGCATATTGCCTGACACCTGACATGGCTGGGCCTCAAAGGATGGGAGGGAGGAGGGGGGCAGCATCACAAGCAGGATACCCAGACTAACAAGGTTGAGGAGCCTGCAAAGCCCCTCAGACAGGGAACAGATAGGGGGCATTCAGAAAAAGGCCCTTTTTGAGGCTGGCTTTGAACTCAGTGCCTGAGGTTTTAGGGAGGCAGAGAATGGTAGTGGTGGTGGTGGTGGTTGGTGTTGAGCAGGACAGCGAATGAAGCAAGGATCCTGGGCCTGACTCCCAGAGGCTTGCCTGGCGTCTCCGGTTTGGGGACAGCAGGGAGAATGCCCAGGGCAGGCCTGGATGTCAGTGTGGGCTTTCTGATGGAAGGCTGAGTTGTGTTTATCTCACCTGAGCAAAGGACTTAGAGACAACCCTCCCCGCCTCCCCCCCCTCCCCTCCCCGCCCCCGCACCTCCGTTTCTCTTGCTCCAGGCCTCTGAGCACCGTGGATGGGGAGAGGGGTTTGGTCTGGAATGTAGGGGGTGATGCAGGTGTGAGATCATGCAGCTCCCACAGAGAGGGAGCTGCCCAGAAAGCGTTCAGCGCTCAGCGGGAACTGGGACCACGGTCGGTAGAGCCGCCCCCTAATCCCCACCCCCTCCATCCCCCTGCTCCCCAGCGGCTGGGCTGCTGGGCTGCTGCGAGAGGTCCAAGCGCCGGAGTTTCCCTAACTCCACCTGCCAGGGGGCTCCGACTGGCCGCTGGCCTAGGGCGGGCGCATGGATTGGTTGCTCCAATCCAGGAGGTTGGACCTGAGGGGCAAGGGTCCGCCCACCGAGATTTCAAATAAGAAGCCCCCAAGAAGGGCGAGCAAACCTGAGGTGGTGCAGCTGCAACTTTCAGGGGAAGGCAGGGACGCTCGGACTCCAGCGCGGCCGGAACACCGAACCACACCTTCAAAGTACTGTCGCGCGCGGGCGTGCGCGCGTGGGGACAAGGCCCCAAGGGGCCATCGAGCGCGCCTTGAACTTTCAGCCATGGGGTCGGCAGCGCTGGAAATCCTGGGTCTGGTGCTGTGCCTGGTGGGCTGGGTGGGTCTGATCCTGGCGTGCGGGCTGCCCATGTGGCAGGTGACCGCTTTCCTGGACCACAACATCGTGACGGCGCAGACCACCTGGAAGGGGCTGTGGATGTCGTGCGTGGTGCAGAGCACCGGGCACATGCAGTGTAAGGTATACGAGTCGGTGCTGGCGCTGAGCGCCGAGGTGCAGGCGGCGCGGGCGCTCACGGTGGGCGCCGTGCTGCTGGCGCTGGTGGCCCTGTTTGTGACCCTGACGGGCGCGCAGTGCACCACCTGCGTGGCCCCGGGCCCGGCGAAGGCGCGCGTGGCCCTCACGGGCGGCGCGCTTTACGCTCTGTGCGGGCTGCTGGCACTCGTGCCCCTCTGCTGGTTCGCCAACATCGTGGTCCGCGAGTTCTACGACCCCACGGTGCCGGTGTCTCAGAAGTACGAGCTGGGCGCGGCGCTGTACATTGGCTGGGCGGCGTCGGCGCTGCTCATGGGCGGCGGCGGCCTCGTGTGCTGCGGCGCCTGGGTCTGTGCCGGCCGGCCGGACCTCAGCCTCCCGGTCAAGTACTCCGTACCACGGAGACCCACGGCCAGCGGCGACTACGACAAGAAGAACTACGTTTAGGAGTGCGGAGCACAGCGGGGGGCCACTTCTCCGTAGCCAAGCCCATACGCTGGAGGATCGGCCTGGGAAGCCGCGCTTGGATGGCTGCGGCCACTGCTGGGTCACCAAGCTCAGAGGGATGCTAGACTTGGAGCACCGACCAGACCTGCCCGCGCCCAAAGCTCTCTGAACACTCAGAGCTCAGCCTCGAAACCCATGAGTACTTGAGAACTCGATCTTTCGTTTTGTTTTTTGTTTTTTTTTTTTACGCAGCGCTGGCTAGGACGTTGGTGGGACTTCTCAGATTGTCTCCCGAGTGGGCACCAGACTGCCGATGCCAATCCCTCCCCAGGATCTGGAGGATCTTGGCTATTGCCTTACTTTCCATCCGCTCCCGCTGATCTAGGAGTGGGCAGATAGGAGAGCCCAGGATCCCCAGGCAGGGTTGCTGGAGGGGTGTGTATAAACTGCCTTTCCTTCTCAGCAGGGGGGGGGGAGGGCCTCAGCGCAAGGAACCAAGGAAATTGGCCTGGACTTCCTGGTCTCCCTCATCAGTGGCCCCTCTGCCCCCATCTCCTCTTGTGAGCACCAGAGCCTGAACATGGGGGCAGGGGCATTGTATGGTCCTTGCAGCTTGTGGGCGGGTGTGGGGAGATTAAGAATTTGCTTAGTAAATCGTTTGAACACTCCCACGGTCTCCTGTCCTCTGTCCACTCACCCTTTGCCTAGCAGACCATTCTCCCACCCACCTGCCAACACCCTATCCCCAAAGGGTCCTGTGGGGGCTCCCTCAAGGCTGGCCCCTAGGTCCTATAAACTTTTCCCCAAGCCCCAGGTGGGAATTTACACAGCCACAATATATTGCAAGGCAGGGAAGCCCCACATGGGGCTAGGAGTGGGAGGGGTGGAAGCAGCCCTGTCCCTAGCATTCTATTAAGTGGCCACAGTATGGATGGTGACGCTTCCCAACTGTGGAATGGGAGCAAGTTGAATCTAGGATGTATGCCCAATCTAGCAGGTCTTGCTGCAGTCAACAACCGTTGTCATGGGAAGAGGCCAGTTGCCCAATGTCTTGGGCTCTGCTCCAGGCCCTTGTCCTGGTTCCTTTGTCAGCCAGTGTGTCTGTGTACAGAAGGTCTGTGCCCTCCCCTCCCCTGCTAGCCCAGTAGCCAGACCACACCACTGCTCACCAGCACCTCTGTTCAGGCTCTACTGCTGGAAAGCACCCAATGTGATGTTCCCACAGCGGGTGAAATCTAGGAGCCAGTGCTGGGATGGGGGAAGAGGGATCCCAACGGGCAGGAGCACATCTATAATAGCCCAGAGCTCATTGTTTCCAGTGCATTTCTGCCTTCTGCAAAAGGCCAGGCACAGGAGAGCAGTGGCTGGGGGAAGAGACTGCTTGCTAGTTGGTGTCCAAGCCAGCCACCAGGAAGACTTGGCACCTGCCCCCAACCCTGATCTCCAGGGCTCTGCCCAGAACTGGCTGGCCTACATCCAGTAGCAGGGAGTATCCCAGTCCTGGCCAGGTTCCCCCATGAGACCCCCATGGTTGGGAGGTCCAGAGCAGATTCCAGTTGTAGGGATGGTACCAGGTGGGACACCCAGTGAAGCTGGACTTTCTGGTGGCCTGAGCTCCCAAAACACAACCTTCAGGTACAAAGACCCCCAGCAAGCCACCTGACTCAGCAAGGCTTAAACAGCAGCCCTGCTTGGCTGTGTACAGGACCCAAGATCGGCCAAGCTTGGGAGCCAGGGCCCTGGGCTGGACTGGAGTTTAAGTCGTCATACCTGGCAGCTGGTCCTGGCTGTGCAGTGGTCATCAGTGGGTGGATACAATACTGTTGTCCAGGAATGTGGGGTTCAGGGTACTAAGCTAGGAACTCATTCACACAGAGAGGGGCTCATTTTACACAAGCCCTTTCCCTCAGGGCAGAGTACCAAAGGGCAGCTGGATTTGAGTTTTCTTAAATTGCTAGTGGGCAGCATGAGGGACTTGGGGAGCCAGCCCCACCTGACCCATGCTAGGAAGGACAGGGCAAGTGCCACTCATGACTAGTGCCATCACTGGAGTTCACAGGCAGAGAAGCTAATCTTCAATTCAGCTGTGAGTCCACTGCAATCTGCCCTTTCCCAAGGGACCCCCACCTACTGCACCCTCATTTCCAAGCTATTCTTTGTGGACTTGTCCCTACAAACTTAAAACTGACCACAGAAAGACTGTGTTGAAGGCCAGCCTGGGCTACATAGCTGAAACCTTATCAAAAATAAACAATCTCTAATCACTGCTGCCTTCAGGAACTGCCCAGTTGGCTGGGAGCTGGTGGCTCAGGCTTGTAATCTTAGCTACTCAGGAGGCTGAGATCTGAAGATCACAGTTCAAAGCCAGCCTAGGCAGGAAAGTATGAGAGTCTCTTATTTTCAATTAATTACCACAAAGCTGGAAGTGGAGCTGTGGCTCAAGCAGTAGAGTACTAGTCTACTACTTGACTCAGTTTAAGCCCCAGAACGTGTGCATATTTACACACCTACAGGAGGATTATGTGTTGAAGGCTAGTCTGGGTTACACAGTTGAGACCTTATACAAACAACACCACACACACACAAACAAATCACTGCTGCTTTCAAGGACTGCCCAGGGCTGCTAGTCCTTACAGGTACACTCTACTCACCTCCCAACCCTTCCACACTCATTATGCTGAAGGGATGTCTGGGAGGGGTGATCCTACCCCCATCTAGGAAGGCTTTGAAGGCCATGGAGTCTGCCAAGATCTCATCTAATGTGGACCTTCTGTGACCAGGTTGTGGATGAGGCAGATGGCAGGTCTTGAAGCACACAATGTGTCCACTCAGAATCTGCTAGTCTAGTCAGGCCTTTTCCAGCCTGAGGCCTTCCCGTTGCTGTCTTCCTCTTCTGCAGAGAAGCATGCCCTTGGTGTGTTCAGGGACAAGGCACTTCGACAGGGCGCTAGATGGCAAGATGAGGGCTTGATGTGTGTGTGTGTGGGGGGGGGGGGGGCGCGTGCAAGGGGATGATGTTGTCAAGACCAGGAGGAAATGACAGGCAGGAAGACACAGCCAGCTCCCACTGGGCATGCTTGGTACTGTGTGGAGACCAGGGCCGTAGGGTCCAGACTCCTTTCCATCCACTTGCATGGAAGCCTGGAGGGGAGAGTGGGGAGACCTTGTCCCTAGGGTCTCGAGGGGTCACACATTCCTGTGCTAGAGGATGCTGTGAGTACAGGAACCAGGTTCCCTTGGGCCAAAAGGAGTGTCAGAGTACACCTGTGCTGGCTCCACATTTAGAACCAAGATGGGGAACAGAAGCTAAAACAAACATTTTATTCCATTAAAAGGCACTGAGGCACTGTTCAAGCATTTCAAACGATGACCAAAATTTAAAATCTAAATAAAAGCCAGTAGATATAAATAAGGAGGAGGTCATTTTTGGAAGAAATCAAGTTCTGCAAAAGAAGAAAAAAAAATGTATCACAAACATTTTAGAGCAATTCTGATGTGTCTCCCAAATGTAGCCAATTCAAATGAGGCCTCTGCTGCTTCTAAGTGCCTTCATCTCAGCCTTGGGGTATCTATGGGGTAAGAGCCACCCCTGAACCACTAAGGTGCCCTCTGTCCTCACTACACCCCCTGTTGCATCTGAAAGTCCTTAACACTCTAGACCCCCTCCCCACAGGGCACCCTCTCAGTGGAGGGACCTCCCAGTTGCTTATCCTGCCCAGAGCCTTTGCCCATCTGTCCTCTAGCACACAGCTCTTCCGAATCCCACCAGCCCACCTGCACCCTCCGAGTACCAACACAGTAGCAATGTTGGCATCACTGCCTCCAGTGCAGCTCCACTGCTGAGGACCCTGGTGCTGACTATAATAGCACACTTGCTAAGTGAAGAGCCTCAGCCTCATTGTCAGAAGCAGACTCTGTCTAGTTAAGGACCCAACCCAAAGTCACTGCTAATGACCTACAAATCTGGCTGAAGACCCAGAGCCCCTTCTTTAACATGGTCCTTTGAACAAGGCTACCCTAAGAGACATCTGTGGGGTCCCTGAAGCTCCTAAGGCCATTCTGGATACTAGCCTGAAGGCACTCTAGCCTGAGCCTTGGTGGGGACACATGCCACATAAATGGCCTCTAGTCTAGGTTGAGGGAGAGGCAGGGCTGGATGCAGGCATCCACTGAGAGATGGTCAGACACAGGGCAGGCTCTGCACATCCATTTCATGTATTCCTTAAGAACGAGGAATTGTGCCAGGCACTGACTGCTCATGCCTACTTAGAAAGCTGAGATCTAAAGAGCCTGGTTGAAGGCAGAAAAGTCTATGAGACTCTTACCTCCATTTAATCAGCAAAAATCTAGAAGTGGAGCTGTGGCAGAGAGCCATGCTTGAACAAAAAGTGAAGGAACAGTGGTGTCCAGGCCCTGAGTTCAAGACCAAGTACTAACACAAAAAAGAAAGGCAATCCCTGGACACTTGTTGAAATGAACTATATTGCTGGGCACCGAAGGCTCAAACCTGTTAATCCTAGCTATTCAGGAGACTGAGACCTGAGGATTGTAGTTCAAAGCCAGCCTGGGCAGGAAAGTCCATGAGACTCTTATCTCCAATTAACCACCAGAAAACTGGAAGTGGCGCTGTGGCTCAAAGTAGTAGAGCACTAGCCTTGAGTGAAAGGGCTCAGGGACAGCATCCAGGCCCTGAGTTCAAGCCCCACAAATGACAAAACAAAAACCTATACAAACTTATGGGTGGAACTGAGAGGGAAAAACTGGGAGAGAGTAAGGGAAGGGGTAACATTGTCCAAAAAGAAATGTGTTAATTACCTGATTATGTAACTGTAATCCCTCTGTACATCATGTTTATTATAACAATAAAAAATTTTTAAAAGAACGAAGGAAGGAAGGAAAGAAGGGAGGGAGAGAGAGGGAGGGAAGCAAGGAGGGAGATGGAGGGGGAGGGGGAGGGAGAGAGAGAGTGAGAGAGAGAGAGAGAGAGAGAGATTGGGATTAAGATTGAGATTGATATTGAGTAGGGCAAGGAGAAGGCCTGGCTGAGGTGTCCTGTCACTGGTTGGGAACAAACATCTCAGGGCAGCCATACTTCAGTCATTAGCCTGAAGCCTCAGGCAGAGCTGACATTTTGTGATTTGCAGCTGCCAACAGCTCTGCATTCAAGGATGAAGCACCCAAAAGCTCAGAAAGCCTGCCCAGTGAGCTCCAGCAGAGGCCCAATATAAAGGTCGTGGGGGCGGCAGGCTGTAAGCAGCCCCTCAGGGCAGTGCCAGGCAGTCTGTGTGTTACACGTGTCTCCCACACCATGGCCACCCCACAGTGTGGCCAGTGGAGGGTGAATACCAGGTCTTTCTTAGGGGATCAAAGGGACATAACGAAATTAGCTTCTTCAAAAACGTCTCATTGTGGCCCTGCTGGCAGCCTCAGGATGGTCATTCTTGGGAAAAATGTACTGGCCCCAAATCTCTTGAGACCTTGCTCTGATGTGAAACTCGAGTAAAAGCCTCTCTTGAAGGAGAGCAAAGCCAGGAGTCAGGGTCAGGTTGGGCTCACCCTCAGGATAGCAGGGAGACAAGAGCATCCAGGAACTTGCTCCGGTCCTCAGCTTTCAACTCAATTACTAAAGTAATGAAAGAAAAACATCTTGTGAGAAGGGAGTTGTGAGAAAAACAAGGCAGGGCACAGAACTCTGGGGACCCACCCCCTGACTGCAGCAATCCTCTGCCACATTCCAAACTGCACAGGCTCTTCTTCCACGGCCTGAAATAATCTGGAATATTTGGTTTCAACCCAGTCCCACTGTATTTCATCCTCAGATCTGCTGGATGCACTGAAGAGAGACCAGATCTGTGGTCTCTGGGCCATGGATCACGGGGGCCAGCAATGACAGGCAACAGAGAGGGCACAGGGATGTGACAACTCATAGATATAGCTCTGGACAGAGACAGGCCTTCCCACATTGTCCAGCACAGACACTCGCCCCCAAAATCAGTGGAGGCCCATGCTGGGATAGGAGGCCACTTGAGCCCTGCTCTGCCCTGTACCTCTATCCTCTTCTGAAGGAGAGGACCTAATGGAAATTACCTGTGTTTCTGGAGGCTACCAGGCATGTAGATTCTTTTTTTTTTTTTTTTGGGGTCCGGTCATGGGGCCTGAACTCTAGGCCTGGCTGCTGTCCCTTAGCTCTTCAGCTCAAGGCTAGCGCTCTACCACTTGAGCCACAGCGCCACTTCCGTTTTTTTTCTTTTTTGCTTATGTGGTGCTGAGGAATCGAACCCAGGGCCTCATGCATGCAAGGCAAGCATTTTACCACTGAGCCACCTTCCCAGCCCAGGCATGTATTCTTATTAGATGTAAAAACAGGCCCTGGGACTAGGCTGGCCTGGTCTGAAGAGGCACCAGGCCACTGGCTACCTCCCAGGAGCTTTCCACACTCCCCTGGCTCTCCAACTGGCCAGTGAAACCTGGCAGCTTCCTGGCTGTGCAATAAAGGCAGCTGTAATCAATCTTCCTCCATCCCAGGCATGCAATAAGAAGCAGGGTCTGCTGCTCAGGGTAGTCCAACAGCAGGCAGTGCCACAGGCATTACAGTCCTGCCACAAACAGCTGGACCAAGCTGGACACAACACCATGTCTCCTAGGATACTGACTACCACTGGTAAGAAATCAGCAGGCAGATGACATTGAGTGGTCTGGCTGGGCCCCTTGAACCACCAGCAGCCATTTTTCTGGGCCTGGTTGGGGGAATGATGTCATGATGGGAGGCTAAAGCCATGAGCAGGTCCAGCTTTGCCTGGGGCTGTTTCTGAGGATGAAATGGCTATTGGCCAGGCGCTTCCGACCTCACCAGCTTGCCCCATTCAGGGTAAATGCTAGCCAGTACTAGCCTTGAGGTCAATCAGATGGCACAGGTGTGGCAAATGGCAGAGACTCTCACCTGAGAGGTCAAAATGGTTGTGCAGGGTGCGGGAGCTGGTGCTTTCTGCTGCCTTCTCAAATGCCCGCCCAAAAAAGCTGTGGATATAAAACAGACCTGTTGGGGGACAGGTTACAGATTCTTGCAACCCTCATTCCCACGACAGACACTGGAGGGTAAATTTTAGCTGTCACTCAATGGACGAACGCACAAGACCATAAGGTCTCCACTCCTACTGTCCCCAGGACAAGTAGAAGCCACTTACTTCTTTCTGTCTGAGCCATCTGTCTCTGGAGGAATGCCCACCATAGTCACTGTGCCCTGCTCCACACTCAGTGGGGCAGCCATCACCAGTGGCAGCAGTTTGCTACGTCGGTTCTTTGTCTGTAAAAACAAATGCCCTCGTTCACATGACTAGTCTTAGCAAGGTGCAGAGTGCACTCAGCAACCATGAGCCCTGACATCCAGGCCACTTCCCCCAAACCTCTAGAAATGAGTACTTGAGGCCAACATGACACTGTGGCCCCAGCCTAGTATGCCCTGGCTGTCCCTAACAACTCTTTCAGGTTCTGCTGTAACTGGCACCTATTCCAAGAGTTCCCCAGTACCCCAGCTTTGCCCCACTCCTTCCTGTGTGATGTGTGCCTCTAACTTTATGTGCTTATGCCCCATGTGGTCCCCTCCTACACACACACTGCCTTGAGATGGAGACCCTGAGTGTCATACCCACAGCTCTACAATTCGCAGCCAAGACGACCTACTGTTCTGGTTTATGCAGGACTGAGGATGTTCCAAGAAGCAAATGGGGATGGTAATTGCTCCCAAACAGGGCCCAGTGCATGCTGGGAGTCAATCAATGCCTAGTGATTAAATGTCTGGATCCTATAAAGTGACTGCTTGCTCATCAGAATTACATCACACATCTAATAAATGAGGAGGCTAAACTTCGAACCGAGGCCACAGGACTTCAAAGCTTATGTGGACATTTTGGTCCTTTCTAGGTATCCACAGGGGATTGGTTCCAGAACTGATACCAAGACCCAGGATCTATGTATACTTAAGCCCAGGATCTCTGTATATCTTCTTGTATACTTTAAACTATCTTTAGACTATTTATATTTACTACAATGCCTGTACATTGCTTTATCTGCATAGACTCAGCAAGTACTCAATGTACAATAAATTCAAGTTTTGCTTTTAAGAACTTGAGAGAGAGAGAGAGAGTGTGTGCATGCTGGTATAGAACTTGAACTTAGGACCTAGTGCTGTGCCTTAGCTTTTTCACTCACGGTTGGAACTCTACCACTTGAGCCATACCTCCACTTCTGACTTTTTGCTGGTTAATTGGAGATAAGAGTCACACAGACTTTCCTACACAGGCTGGCTTTGAGCCAGAGTTCTTAGATCTCAGCCTCCTGAGTATTTAGGATTATAGGCGTGAGCTTCTGATGTCTGGATAGAATTTTTTTTCCAGAAAGTTGTTTGTTTGTTTGTTTTAAATTTGTGTTGTGGGTGGAACCCAGGGCCTCATTCCTGAGCTACATCCCAGCCTTTCCGAAATATTTTTGCAAGGCAAGCGCTCTACCACTGAGCCACCTTCCCAGCCCCCGAAATATTTTTGATCCAAAGTTGGTTGAGTCTGAGGAGACAGAATCCATGGAGCCATGTAGTCATCATCACTATACTCAAAATCATGACTTGGACAGCTAGTGATAAAATCAGAGCTTGTGGGAAATAAGACTCCTAAGGGTCAGAGGAGTACAATTTAGTCCAGAAAAAGCAAGGGATATAACCAAGCCTCCCAGCTGGAGAACTGCCAAAGGCAGCTTTCAGCCATCATCTAACTCATAACATACACATGGAGCATGGGTGCTCCTCCCCCCAGGGCCCTGCCTACACAGTTCCTCACCGAGTACACAAAGGACTTGAGCAGGTTTCTGCTGAGCAGGCTCAGGGATGCAGGTTTGGAGAACAGCATGACATCTGGAGTGCCCTGTGTGAGGGAATGGAACAGACCGTCAGAGGTGGCACTGGTAAGCATGGCCTGGCTTTGGGCACTGGGATCTGAGAGGGGCATAGATGGTCAAAGGTGACACTTGCAGGTGGGGGCCAGTGCCATGCATCAAGACAACCCTGACCTCCATGAGGGAGCAATAGAGGAAAGGTCCCTGGGAGATGACAAGATTGGTGCACAGGCAGCTGGCGATGGTTTGCTGGGTGGCTTGTAGCTGCTTCTTGGCAAGTTCTAGGCCCAGGTACAGCTTATCCAGGTTACTCCTGAAAGAAAGCAGACATTTAGCTTGCTTGTCCAGAACTGCTGATATAATGCCAAAGTCACAGACCGACTGTTTGGTTCTTGGTTCAGGAAGGGATTTAGGGATAACAGTTTATCTTCTTAGCTAGGCAACTGGTTCAAGCCTCTATTCTAGCTATTTGGGAGGCAGTGATTGGAGGATTGCAGTTTTGAGGCCAGCCCAGACAAAATACAACTTTTTGAGACTTTATCTCAACCAATGGCTGTGTCTACCTGTCATCACAAGCTACTGGGGAACTACAATGGCTGGGCATAGTGGCACAGGCTCAAATAGGAAGATCATATTCAGGCCATTCTAGGCATTAAGACTCTATCTTCAAAATGACCAACACAGAAATGGCTCAAGGGGTAAAATACCTGCCCAGTAAGCACAGGTTCTGAGTTCCAACCCTAGTACCATTAAGAAAAAAAGAAGGGCTGGGAAGGTGGCTCAGTGGTAGAGCGCTTACCTTGCATGCCTGAGGCCCTGGGTTCGATTCCTCAGCACCACAAAAGCAAAAAGAAAAAAAGCCGGAAGTGGCGCTGTGGTTCAAGTGGTAGAGTGCTAGTCTTGAGCTGAAGAGCTGAGGGACAGCGCCTAGGCCCAGAGTTCAGGCCCCACAACCGGACCCAAAAAAAAAAAGAAGCCAGTGCCTGTAGCTCATGCCTGTAATCCTAGCTACTCAGGAGGCTGAGATCTGAGGATAGCACAGTTCAAAGCCAGCCCAGGCAGGAAAGCCCATGAGACTCTTATCTCCAATAAACCATTCAGAAAACCAGAAGTGGCACTGTGGCTCAAGTGGTAGAGTGCTTGCTTTGAGCTGAAGAGCTGAGGGACAGTGCCAAGGCCCAAAATTCAAGCCCCATGATCGACAAAAAAAGAAAGAAAAAAAGAAAAGAAAAAAGTTTCCCTCCTGAGTTCCCCTTCATATAATAGGAAGGAATAGAAGGGTGGGAAAAAGTGCTGGCATCAGGAGACAGGAGACTAAAAGCCCACAAAGGAGGTCTCAGGAAGGTGCCCAAGGGTTCTGGCAGAAAGGACGCTTGGGCAAAGGGCAAAGAGAGCACAGGGACCTCTACCCCACCCAGAAAGACTTTTACTCTTCTATTGATGAAGAAAAGGTTCCCCTCTGAATACATGAAGTGAACGCTCTGGAGAAATAGGGTCCTTATGCAAAGCCTCTCTCTGCAGCAATTAGGAGTATAAAAGGGTCCTTCCTGTCTGCCAAGATGAAGTGATGTTTTCCAGCCTGCAAACTATGTCTAGACATGCAGCCAAGATTCCTAAATACAAAAGACACTAGACCATTTGAGAAACACTTATGGACTGTTTAAAAAAAAAAAAAAAGTGATCCTGGAGGAAAAAGATAACCGGAGCTAAAACAAAACTGATAAAAATCTAGTATCTTCAGAGAGATTTGAGTGGCTATGACATTCCTAAATCAAGAACAGGATACTAGGAAAGAAGAATCAGAAATCAGCTGGGTGCCACTGGCTCATGCCTGTAATGTTTATTACTCAGGAGACTAAGTCTAAGGACTGCAGTTCAAAGCCAGCCCAAGCAGAAAAGTCTGTGAGCGCTTAACTCCAATTAACTCCTAAACAAGTAGGAAGTGAAGCTGTGGCTCAAGTGCTAGAGCACTAGTCTTGAGGGAAATAAAATGCCCAGGGACAGGCCCTGAGTTCAAGTCCAAGACTACTACAAAAAAATAATTCTGAAAATGTGTGAAGATTAAAATTCTCTTCAATATCCATGAGACCTATGAATTTTAAAATGTAAGGCAAAAATGTAATCATTGGGAAGCCCAAAAAGGAAGAATAAAAAAAAACTGATGCTTCTGGGTGCTGGTAGCTCATGTCTGTAATCCTAGCTACTCAAGAGGTTGAGATCTGAGAGTCACAGTTCAAAGCCAGCCCAGGCAGTAAAGTGCTTGAGACTCTCATCTCCAATTAACTACCAGAAAACCAGAAGTGGAGCTATGGCTCAAAGTAATAGAGCACTAGCTTGAACAAAGAGCTCATGGACAGTGCCTAGGCCCTGAGTTCAAGCTCCAGGACCAGCCAAAAAAAAAGAAAGCAGGAGGTGGGGGTGGGGATTGGGGGGAGGAAGGGCGGGGAGAAAGGGAGAGAGAGAGAGAACAAAAGTAAGATGGTGTTATAAGTCTGTACTTTATGCACTCCAGAGGCTGAGGCAAGAGGATCATGAGTTTGAGGCCAGCTTGGACTACAAAGTGAGACTCTATCTCAAAATGATGTATATTGAGGATTGGCTGGCAGCGAATCAGGTGTCACCACTCTAGTGGTGATTCTGACTCTCATACAGTAGGACCAGTCATCCTCACACTTAGGGAATCCCAGCAACTGACCTCCCTCCCTATACAGTGTGAGATTGAGGAGTAGGCACAGGACCTCCCAAGGGGGTAGCAGTCCCTAGCCACACCCACTACCTGGAGAGACTATCTAGAGCCTGGATAAAGTGATCCGTCTCTGAGCTGTCCTTCTCCGGGTTCTCCATCAGAGACATAGTGGCAAAGACCACATCACTGGCCAGGAATTTATGCTTGAACCCAAAATGGATGCTGAAAGTCTGTACACGCATGTCTTTCATCCTGTCACAAAAGAAGTAATGCACTTGTCAATCTCTAGTCAAAGGCAAACTCTCCCAGCCAGGCCAAGCCAACAAATATCCTAATGTTCCTTACAGGTCCCCAATAATGTTCTATGATAATTCTGCTTAGAGGATGAGGTAGGTCAGAACACCAAACATGCCAGCCCTGCAGACCAAAGCAGCTGGCCACCTGCCTACAGCTGCTCAGCTGGCCATGGGCAGAGCAATATAAACAAACATGGAAATGGATTTGGCCCAGCAAGTCAGCTAGGCAGGAGTAGCCAGTCCCAGGGGACTTAGAAGTACCCAACGACCTGTGTAGACAGAGCTTGACTGACCCTGGCTCTAGAGGCCCACTTCCTGACTTCAGAGAGGGATAAGCTGGATCAGACTTACAGCTCCAGGATTTAAGGATCCTAAAACTTATAGGCACTTTTTAAAAAGGTGTGTTTTTGGCCCAAAGAGAACTCCAAAACTTCAGGCAGAACTGGTCTCAAGAACATGCTTGTTTATGCATTCTTAGGACTTCATTTTTGCATTTTTAGGAATACAGTTAAAATAGAAACCCTAGCTTTAAAGAAATTTAATTGAAAAAAAAAGGTATTTACCCAAATTTGTTTGCAGATTCTTCAATCATTTCTCTTAAGTTCTCCTTCAAGGAGATGTCCATGGACTGAAACTTCTGCTTGACCTGTTTCAGGGGTAGGCTGGAAAGAGCAAGCCCATGTCACATGAGTGAGACTGCAGTGGCACCATGAGGAAGGAAAACTGTGCAGGCCCGCCAGGGATGTCCTGGCATGGCCACTCAGGCAGCATCCTAAAGGATTTGAAGAACTCCTAGTAGAAGAGGCAACAGCTCCATTTTTTTTGGTGTTGGTGATGGGGCTTTAAACTCATGGCCTGGGTGCTGTTCCTGAGCATTTTTTGCTCAGGGCTAGCGCTTTGCCACTTGAGCCACAATTCTACTTCTGGCTTTTTTCAGTGCTTAAAATTGAAGATAAGAATCTCATTGCCGGGCTGGGAAGGTGGCTCAGTGGTAGAGCGCTTGCTTTGCATGCTCGAGGCCCTGGGTTCGATTCCTCAGCACCACATAAGCAGAAAAAAAAAAAAGCTGGAAGTGGCGCTGTGGCTCAAGTGGTAGAGCGCTAGCCTTGAGCTGAAGAGCTGAGGGACAGCGCCTAGGCCCAGAGTTCAGGCCCATGAATGGACCCACCCCCCAAAAAAAAGAATCTCATTGCCACCAAGTGGCTCACGCCTATAAACCTAGCTACACAGAAGGCTGAGATCTGAGTATTAAAGTTCGAAGCCAGCCCAGGCAAAAAAGTCCCCACACAAGGCTCTTACCTCTAATTAACCACTCAAAAACCAGAAGTGGCACTGTGGCTCAAAGTGGTAGAGTACCAGCCTTGAGCAAAAGAGCTCAGGCACAGCACCCACGCCCTAAGTTCAAGCCCCCTGACGGTAAAAAAGTAAAATTAAAAAACAAACAAACAAACTTTCACAGACTTTCCTGCTCAGGCTGGCTTTGAACTGTGATCCTTAGATCTCAGCCTCCTGAGCTGCTAAGATTGGTAGCATGAGCTACCAATACCCCCACAAACTGCTCTATTTTTACAACCAAATGAGTCACAGCAAAGTGGAGGGAATTCTCCTGGGAGGTGATCAAGTGCGGGAGTGGGGGGTTTCAGGCCAAAGTAGTCACTTACCCCATGTCTGCAAGGAACTCCTGAAGCCGCTTCTGCCCATGCACAGACCAGAGCTTGAACCTGGCCGCAGTATAGCTGGTGTTGCACAGACTGTCATGGAGGGACCAGTGCTGGTAGAGTGCCAGGCAGAGGCTGGGCCAAGGTCAAGGAGCACATGTGGTGTTGCTACTTGTTACCTGCTTGCAGCTGCATAACCTGGGCATATATGGCCTCACCTATGACACTCTGCTGAGAGTGTGCTCCCTTGCTACGGCCTGCCTGCACAACCAGGTATGGGACTGCTTAGGTAAGGGTGATGTGTAGTGTGGTGACCTATGTAAGGAGCCTGTGAGGTTGTAAGAACACAGAAATCCCTTACTAACAGATGACGAAACTAGCTGGGTGCTGGTGGCTCACGCTCGTAATCCTAGCTACTCAGGAGGCTGAGAAAGGATAACCAGTAGATGCCAGCTCAGGCAGGAAAGTCAGAGAGACTCTTATCTCCGGTTAACCACCAAAAAGCTGGAAGTAGAGACATGGGTCAAGTGGTAGATTGCTAGCCTTGAGCAAAAAAGCTCAGGGATGGTACCTAGGCCCTGAGTTCAATCCCTAGTAGTAGCATGCACAAGCATGTATGCGTGTATATGCACACACACACACACAATGAGCACACACAACAAAACCATGAAAAAGTGATGAAGAAACGAAGATGCAGGGGTTCTGAAGAGCTCTCTGATGGGCACAGAAAGCAGTGAGGGCCGCATACAACAGGGAGACTGAGTGGCAGAAGCTCAGGTTGCCATCCTGGCCTACCCACTCCTGGCTGACCTAATCCTGTCCACCTTCTGCCCCTCCTTGAAACCTCCCCATCCTAACCCTCCTTTTTTTTGGGGGGGGGTAAGTGTGGGAGTAGGAACTAGTATTAGGGTTTAAACTCAGGGCCTAGGCATTGTCTCTTCGTTTTTCTACTCAAGGCTGTTGCTTTAAGCCACTTGAGCTGCTTCTAGCTTTTTGGTGGCTAATTGAAGATAAGAGTCTTCAGACACTTTCCTGCCATGGCTGACTTGGTACCTTGATCTTTAGATCTTAGCTTCCTGAGTAGCTAGGATCACAAGCCACCGGTGCCCATCTTCTTACTCATCTTTGTTGTTGTTGTTGTTGGTTGTAAGGCTTAAAACTCAGGGCATGATCACTGTCCCTGAGCTCTTTTCAAGTATAGTATTCTACTACTTTGAACCATAGCTCCGCTTCTGGTTTTTGAGTGATTAATTGGAGATAAGGGTCTCAAAGGGATTTTTTGCTTGGGCTGGCTTTGATCTGAAATTCTCAGATCTCAGCCTCCTGAGTAGCTAGGATTACAGGTGTGAGCCACTTGTACCCAGCTTACTCATCTTACTTTTCCCTTCACCACTTGCGGCTCTTGTAATTGTGACCACGAGTGGTCTTCATCACAGGTAGCACCTCCACAGAACTCAGGCTGCCCTGATTGCTTCCTGCTCACGACCACTCTAGCCCCTTGCCATCACTCTGTGGGACAGTCAGGTGTCTCTGCTGCCTCTCATGGGTCCGGAAGAATGCTGCCCTCTTTGTGTCTGAGCTTCATATACAACCAGTCCATCTACTCTGGGAGGCAAACATGTTATAAGCAGATGGATGGGGGCAGGAGCCCTTCACAGTGACTAAGCAAACAGCACCCAAGCAGGGGGTGCTGCTTACATCCCAGGGTCTGAGCTGCAAGGATACTCATACTCAAAGGAGATCCGAGTACAGTCCACAGAGAGTGTGTTCTCCTCATCCTCATTTCGGTGATTGTGTCGGGATACGTGGCGCTGCAGGATGCCAACATCTGTCACATACTTCATTCTAGAAAGAAAGTGCTTCAAACTGGGCTGGCTTCCCTTCCATGCTCAGAGTCTGCCTGCCACCCAGGCTGTTTCTGCACAATGACTGAGGAAGCTTGGCTACTTCTGCACAGAAACTAGGCAGCCAGGAGGACAACAGCAGATAGAAATAGGCAGGACCTGTCGGATAGGAGCCAGTGCTCATGCCTGTGATCCTAGCTATTCAGGAGGTTGAGATCTGAAGATCTGGGTTGGAAGCCAGCCTGGGGCAGGAAAATGTAAGAGACTCTTGTCTCCAATTAACCACTAAAAAACTAGAAATGGAGATATGGCTCAAATGGTAGAACACCAACTTGCGAGCAAAAAAGCTAAGGAAGCCAGGTACTGGTGGCTCACAAATGTAATCCTAGTTACTCAGGAGGCTGAGATACGAGGATCATGGTTTAAAGCCAGCCCAGGCAGGAAAGGTCTTGAGACTTTTATCTCCTATAGAAACTACTCAGAAAGAGCTAGAAGTGGCACTGTGGCTAAAGTGATAGAGTGTTAGCCTTGAGCACTGAGAAACTCAGGGACAGAGCTGACCCTGAGTTCAAGCCCCAAGACTGGCAAAATAAAAAAAAAAAAAAAGGAAAGAAAAAGAAAAAAGCTAAGGGACAGTATCCTGGTCCTGAGTTCAAGTATTGGCACAAGAAAGAGAGAGAGAGAGAGAGAGGAAAAAAGGCAGGAAGGGCTCTAACCTGGCCACATATTCGTTGAGTGTCTCTCTAGAAACTAGCCACTCAGTTAAGCAGCCATACCTCCTAAGTGACAGGAATCTACAGCAGAGCATGCAGACCCACGAAGGTATTGCTGGCAAGTGCAATGGGAATGAGCAGATCCCTTGTTACCTGAGGTTACCAGTGACAGAGCCCATCACTACACATACTAGGGTGTTTCTAGAAGTCCTATTGTATACACCCCATGCTATCCACAACACAGAAGGACTGGTAGACAGTGCCAATGCAGTGGTCGAGGCAGCAGCCCGAGCACTGAGGCTTGAATCCATCCAAACAGGGGAGGAGGCCAGGGGAGACAGAACATCAGGAATAGAGGTTTCTGCCAACTACAGGAGGAACCTGGGAACACATAAAGAATGTGCTAGGTGACAAATTAAGGACATCTGTGTGGATCCCCTGGGAGAGGGTCAGGATCTCAGGGATGAGGGCCCTATCTTCCATGACTTCCTTGGTGGAAGTGGAGACAGATGATCCTCAGGAGGGACAGAGGACAGAGGATGCCCCCTCCCCACAGCCCGTAACTGGAGTGATAGCCTTTCAGCTCATGGTCAGAGCCCAACAGAAGGGGAGCCTGTCATAGGCATTGATGGGCAAAAAGAAGTTGCTTCATGACAGCCCACTTGAAGTCCTATAGAAGCTTCTCCTTAGCTGTTATCAACCCCACATTCTCTGGCAGGCCACTCAGGGGCTTCGCTTCTCTGCTAGCAATCCACCTCTCCCTCACAGTCCTTATCACCATGCACCATCCCCTGGACCTGCCTCTAAGCCCTGCCTTGAGAACAGGAGACAGCCCCTCCTCCCGCCAATGGCGCCACCTAGTGGACTTCTTGGGTAGTAGAGTGGCTTTAAGCCCTTTTTTGGTGACAAGGATTCAACTCCAAGAAGAAGGTCAGCCCTTCCCCATTCTCTATAGGACCCAAGTGACACTGCCTCTCATCTCTGCTGCAAGTTCAGAGACTGTCACACATGCCCACAGCGCAGGCAGACCTGGGGTGCCTGACCCAGGGAAGTTAAAAACATATCCTTACTGTGTGATTTTGTCTTGCACCCATTGGTCTGTCAGTCCAACGATGGCCCACCTAGAAGGAGAAGTGATGAATGCAGCTGCAGGCTACCTAGGCTTGGCAGAGCCTCAAGTGTGCAGCTAGGTGGGGGCAGGGGCAGCACAAGCTCAACACTTTTAGGAGACCTCTAGTGTGGCATGGCCTCCTGACTTGTTATGCCCACCCAGGATTTGCAAGTAGTAATACTGAAACTTCTTTTCTGCTGTGATGGCATTTAGGATTTTTACCTTCTTTCTAAAGAACCAGAGGGCTAACCTAGGCCAAGTTAGCCCTAGGTGTTAGAAGAAACACAAGGGTGGCCACCCAGTGCTAGAGCAATGGTTGGATAGCCATAAACTAGATTCAATTCCTCAACACTACATAAGCAGAAAAAGCCAGAAGTGGTGCTGTGGCTCAAGTGTTAGAGCGCTAGCCTTGAGCTGAAGAGCTCAAGGACAGTGCCCAGGCCCAGAGTTCAGGCCCCTCAACCGCAAATAAAAAAAATACAAACAAACAAACAAAAAAAAAACACCATGGACTGAACTGAGTGTCAGTGGCTCACACCTGTAGTCTTAGCTACTTAGGAGGCTGAGATCTAAAGACTGAGGTTTGAAACTAGCTTGGGCCAGAAAGTCCATGATACTTTTTTTTTTTTATTGTTATTGTTGGTCATGGGGCTTGAACTCTGGGCCTAAGCCCTGTCCCTGAGCTCTTCAGATCAAGGCTATTGCACTACCACTTTGAGCCACTGCACCACTTCCAGTTTTCTGTTTAGTTGGAGATAAGACTTTCCTGCCGGAGCTGGCTTTGAACCATGATCCTCAGATCTCAGCCTCCTGAGTAGCTAGGATTACAGAAGTGAGCTACCAGCGCCCAGCTCATGAGACTTACAGCCACCAAAAAGCTAGAAGCAGAGCTGTGGCTCAAGTGGTAAAGAGTCAGTCTTGAACAAAAAAGCTAAAAGACAATGTGCAAGCCCTGAGTTCAAGCCCTAGTACCAGCACAAAAACAAACAAAAATAAAAGTATCAAGGACTGACAAAAGCCAACAGGCCAGTACCCTAACGTCCAGGCAATGATAAAGAACCCTTAAGCCTAGGGATAGCCCTATACAGTCCCCTGAGACTGATTCCACAAAGATCAAGTCAGGCCACATCCATATTCTTCTCACTTATAAAGACTGCACTTTGTTTCCAGAGCAGTACAAATCTACAGCCACTGGCCTTGACTTACTGATCTATGTGATGAAGCCTGCCTGCAGGCTGCACAGAGAAATGAAAGGCAAGAATGGTTTTCTGTATCTGATTTTAAAAGGTGCCAGGCCTGTAGCGATGCCTATAAAGGGTTGTCTTGTTCAGATCACACTTCTTCAGCAACCTGAATCTACCAAGCAGAGGCAATGTGTCAGGGGTGGGAAGAGGGTAGCTGCACCTGAGCAGCACCATCCATGCTCTGAGTTTGCGTTAAGGCCCCAGAGCCACATACTTGACCTGAGGAAGAGTAGGCGCATGCATAATCCCAGTCAGGGGCAGCGTCTGCCTGGGATTCCCAGGGAGTACCATGTGGCTCTGACCTTAGCTGGTGGCAGGGATCTCAACATGGAGGATGTTTGGTGACTACCTACCAGAGCATGTCATTCAGGTCCTTGGACATCATCCACGCCAAGTCAAACATCACCATGGCCGACTACGAGGAAAAAGAGAGGCCAGAGGCCAAAGGCAGCTGTGTTCATGGGAAAGCAACCCAGTATCTGAGCTAGCAGGGACCTACACAAGCTCTTGCATATGGGGAGCACTCATCAGGGAGGAGTCCAGCCTGACATAGGAGTAAGCTAACACTAAGGTAAGGGGAAGATGAAAGTAACGCAGTTGGCCTGCACATTCTCCTCCACTGTCAACTCTGTGCATCTTATCATGTGTAAGGGAAGACAATGCCCCCTGGTGGGAAGTCCTGGTGCAGCCCTGGGCAGGGAACTATAACTCTCACAGGGTGATGCCCAAAGCAGGTGCTGTCTTCCTTCTTATGCTGTATCTGTTCTACTCCCACTTGGCTGGCAGTCTCAAATACATTCCCAAGAAGGCCAGTGAGGGGCTGGGAAGGTGGCTCAGTGGTAGAGTGCTTGCCTTGCATGCCTGAGGCCCTGGGTTCGATTCCTCAGCACTACATAAGCAAAAAGAAAAAAGCTGGAAGTGATGCTGTGGCTCAAGTGGTAGAGCCCTAGCCTTGAGCTGAAGAGCTGAGGGACAGCGCCCAGGTCCAGAGTTCAGGCCCCACGACCGGACCCCCCCCAAAAAAAAGAAGGCCAGTGAGGCAAGAGGGAGGGACCTCAGGACTCTGTGAGGAAGGTCTTTCCATTGATGCTTTCCATGATGGCACTTAGCAACATCTGAGAGGAGGGTATGAGTTTATAAGAGTGTAAGAGGGGCTAGAAAGGTGGCTCAGTGGTAGAGTGCTTGCCTTGCATGCATGAGGCCCTGGGTTCTATTCCTCAGCACTACATAAGCAGAAAAAGCTGGAAGTGGTGCTGTGGCTCAAGTGGTAGAGCACTGGTTTTGAGCTGAAGAGCTGAGGGACAGCACCCAGGTTCAGAGTCCAGGCACCATGACTGGCAAAAAATAAAAATTAAAAAAATAAATAAAAAAGAGTGTAAGAGAAAAAGTGTTATACCAGAAGACTCTAAAGCCATGGGCTTCCTCAGGGACAGGATTTCTTTTCTATTTTAATTTTTATTGGTCATGGAGCTTGAACTTGGTCTGGGCACTGACCCTCAGCTCTTCAGCTCAAGGTAAGTGCTCTAGCACAGTTCCACTTTTGGTTTTCTGGTGGTTTACTGGAGATAAGAGCTCACAGACTTTCCTGCCCAGGCTGGCTTTGAACTGCGATCCTCAGATCTCAGCCTCCTCAGTAGCTAGGATATCAGGCGTGAGCCACTGGCACCTGGCTAGGGATAGGATTTCTAACAGGACCATATCTGGAGGTATTATCTCTGAGAGAACCCTTGCTTAGAATTGTCCATTTGCAAGGACTCGGCAGAGAGGGCCAAAGGATGACAAACTTGATGATAAAAAGAACATGAGAAATACAGTGGTGAGTTCAAGATCTAAGGGTAAAATTCTAAGAATGAATACAGAATGGTTTTTTTTTTTGCATACTTATTTCTAGGGCTACTTAAGGTCCAGAGTTCTGTTCAATACTAAGAATCAACACAGGCCAGGTGCTGCTGGCTCATACTAGCTACTCAGAAGGCTTAGATCTGAGGATCAAAGTTCAAAGCCAGCCAGGACAGGGAAGCCAGCCTGGACAGCAAGTCCTCAAGCCTCTTATCTCCAATCAACCCCAAAAAGCTGGAAGTAGAGCTGTGGCTCAAGTGGTGGAACACTAGCTTTGAGCAAAAAAGTGCCCAGGCCCTGAGTTCAAGCCCAGGTATAAGCATAAAAAAAAGAAAGAAAAGAAACACAATAGGTTTTCTATACAAAATTCTGTTTCATGACATACATAATGATATATGGGGTAAGTCCAGATTTATCTTCCTGATACAGATTTAATCTATTCTTTAAACGTTGAGCAAAAATAGTAACTGCTGAGCCAGGAGCTCATGTCTGTAATCCTAGCTACTCAGGATGCTGAGATCTGAGGATTGCAATTGAAAGCCAGACCGGACAGGAAAGTCCATGAGACTAATTAACCACCAGAAAACTCAAAGTGGTGCTATGGCTCAAAGTGGTAGGGTACTAGCCTTGAGTAAGAGTTCAGGGACATGCCCATGCCCTGAGTTCAAGCCCCACGACTGACAAGAATAAAAGAAAAGCCAGAAGTTGAGCTGTGGTAGAGCACCAGTCTTGAGCAAAAAAATATAAGGGATAGCACTCAGGTCGAATTCAAGCCCCAGTACTGGTACACACATATCAAAACAAATAAAGAAACCCAAAAGTCCAACTACCCTCAGTCCCAAAGTCAACAACTATCTGTATTTTCTTCACATAGGAATATAAAGCTCAGAGATGTTGTACCTCTGCCCAAGGCCACACAGCCAGAGGCTGTGCAGTAATGATTCAAGCCAAGATTTTATGGCTACAAAAATCTTTGTTCCTTCCTCATATTTCAGGACTTTGACTGCCAGTTATAACTTTATAGTGAATTGTAACTACTGGAACTTACCGATGTCCCGTGATATTCATACTGCTCATAGTCAAAGAGGATGTCTCTCCTGTAATGATAGAAAATGTGGGTCTAAACTAGAAGACAGAAAGCATTTAGAACAACACTAAAACCTCTGTCTTCAAAGAGATGCAAATTAAATCATGGTACCATTTATTTACACTTATTAACTCTTCAGTGGAGTGTGGACATACAACACTGAGAAGGCAATAAAATCCATACAAATTGCTTGTGACAAGCAACATAAAATGCCTTGGCAGGAAATCTGAAGGAACAACACAACTTGCTATGTGCACAATTATAACTATAGCCTTATTTATAATGGGAAAATATTGAAAGTAATCTATAGTTCAAGTAAGGAGTTAAAAGGCTAGGTGTGGTAGCATACACTGGTAATCCCAACACTCAATAGTCTGGAGGGTCACAAATTTGAAGCTAACCCAGGGTATGAAAGTATATGAAGGGATATGAAGACAAACTCTGCCTCAAGATAGAAAGTGAGGGGCTAGGAATGTGGCTTAGTAGTAGAGTGCTTGCCTAGCACGCATGAAGCCCTGGGTTTGCTACCTCAGTACCACATAAACAGAAAAAGCTGGAAGTGGTGCTGTGGCTCAAGTGGTAGAGTGCTAGCCTTGAGCAAAAGAAGCTCAGGGACAGTGCCCAGGCCCAGAGTTCAAGCCTCAAGACTGCACCCCCACAAAAAAAAAAAAAAAAGAATAGAAAATGACAACCTATCCTTCCTTCCTTTCTCTCTCTCATCCTTTCTTTCTTTTCTGTGGTATTAAATATTGAACCTAAGGAGTTGGACCCTATATCATACTGAACTCTGTATGTATATATAATTGACATCTTAGCAGAAAAATCAAACATTAAAAAAAGAGAAAGTGCCGGGCTGGGAAGGTGGCTCAGTGGTAGAGCGCTTGCCTTGCATGCATGAGACCCTGGGATCGATTCCTCAGCACCACATAAGCAAAAAGAAAAAAGCCGGAAGTGGCGCTGTGGCTCAAGTGGTAGAGCGCTAGCCTTGAGCTGAAGAGCTGAGGGACAGCGCCCAGGCCCAGAGTTCAGGCCCCATGACTGGACCAAAAAAAAAAAAAAAAAGAGAAAGTGCCAATTAAATATTAAGCAGTTTACAAAGGTTGTTCAAAGCTATTAAAAATAGTTATCCTCTGGGTGCTTGTGACTCCTAGCTGTAATCCTAGCTATGAGAGACAGAGACAGAGACAAAGACAGACAGAAACTGAGACAGAGAGGGAAGGAGAAAGGGGGAGGGAGGGAGAGAGAGAGGGGGAAGAGGGAAGGAGGGAGAATGGGAGGGGGAGAGAGAGAGAGAGAGAGAGAGAATGAGTTTTGAAATCAGTCTGGTCAGGAAACTCTAAGAGACTCTTATCTCCAATTAACCATCAAAAAGCTAGAAGTAGTTATGGCTCAAAAAGCTAACAGACAGCTCCCAGGCCTTGAGTTCAAGTCCCAGTACTAGTTATATGCTGGGTGCCAGTTGCTCATGCCTGTAGGATTACAGGCTAGTCAGGAGGCTGAGATCTGAGAACAAGATTCAAAGCAAGGCTAAGGCAGAAAAGCCCATGAGACATTTATGCCCAATTAAGCAGCAAAAGGCTAGATAGAGGTAAAGGTATGTCTCCAGAGGTAGAGTGCCAGCTTTGAGCAAAAACACAAAATGAAAGTACAAGGCCCTGAATTTCATGCTGGTAATGGCACAAGAAAGAGAGAGAGAGAGAGAGACGGAGGGAAGGAGGGAAGGAGGGAGGGAGGGAGGAAGGGAGGGAGGAAGGATAAGGAGAAGACGGGGCAAAGTCCCAGCCCTTGGGAGGCTGAGGTAGGAGGACTTGCAATTTGAAGCCAGCCTGAACTACATAGTAAGACTGTCTCAAAAATAGTTTCAGCCTTATATTCAGGTCAAAAAAATTAGAAGCGTGTGTGTGTGTGTGTGTGTGTGTGCGCGCGCGCGCGCATGCTAGTATTGTGTGTGTGTGTGTGTGTGTGTGTGCTAGTATTGGGGCTTGAACTCAGGGACTGGGTATTGTCCCTTAGTTTTTTCACTCAAAGCAAGTGCTCTACTATTTGAGCAACACCTCCACCACTTAGTTTTTCGGTGATTAACTGGAGTTAAGTCTTGAAGACTTTTCTTCCCAAGCTGGCTTTGAACATCAATTCTGAGACTTCAGCTCCTGAGTAGCTAGGATTACAGAAATGAACCACTGGTGCCTGACCTTAGAAGCAGTGTGTGTGTGTGTGCAGTGTGTGTGTGTGTGTGTTGGTTGTGGGGCTTGAACTTGGCCTGGGTGCTGTCCCTGAGCTCTTCAGTTCAAGGTTAGCACTCTACCACTTTAAGCACAGCGCCAATTTGGGTTTTCTGGTGGTTAACTGGAGATGAGTCTCACAGACTTTCCTGCCTGGGCTGGCTTTGAACCATGATCCTCAGATCTAAGCCACTTGGGGAGCTAGGATTATGGGCATGAACCACCAGCGCCTGGCAGAAACATATTTTGATAATGTAAAATGTACACAACTCAAAGACAAACCCAAATTCAGACTCTCTTTGAACTGTACAGTGAGCTAATGTGTTATTTCCACTTATCTTTTGTTTATTTTTGTTTTCTTTAAGTAGTTACACAAAGAGGTTTCAATTTCATATGCCTTTTCTCACTTTCTGGAGTGGTTTTACACTGTTTCCTTACAGGAAAGGGTGAGTCCTGGGCTGGAGCAGCGGGGAAACAGAGCTGGATGACCCTGTGAGGCCTTTAATGAGGGTCCAGCCAAGAGTCCCCCTGCACCACCTTGACAGCACTGCTGCATGTTCAACTAAAGCTAGAATAACCCTTCAGATATTTTCCATTTTAAAGCCCTTTTGTTTTCCTTATATTTGCAATAGGGGGAGGAATTATGGATATCTAAGCTTCTGTTCAGACTTCTTTTTTTTCTATGAAACGTTTAACATAATTGGGATCTACTTACTATTTATAAAGATTTTGCAAATAAAAGTATTTACAGCTGAAAACTGGGGCATTTAGAATCTTAGTTACTCAGAAGGCTGAGATCCAGAGGATCTTTATTCAAGGGCATCACAGACTGAAAAGTCATGAAGACTTCATCTCTGGGGCTGGGAAGGTGGCTCAGTGGTAGCTTGCCTTGCATGCATGAGGCCCTGGGTTTTATTCGTCAGTACCACATAAGCAAAAAGAAAAAAAAGCTGGAAGTGGTGCTGTGGCTCAAGTGGTAGAGCGCTAGCCTTGAGCTGAAGAGCTGAGGGACAGCGCCCAGGCCCAGAGTTCAGGCCCCACA